AAGAAAAAAAACCTCAACATCCGGATAACAACAACAAAAGAACTTGGGGTCGCTAGATAAATATCGTATAGGTGGCAAGTCGGCAAATTTGACGAGGCTGATGATGATGTAAATTGTTCTCATCATCCTCCTCCTCCTCTTTCTGCTCTTTTCATAAAGGAAATGGCCAAGATGATTAACTGTATGTTTCAAGGTGAAGGTTGTACAAAATATACAGGCCGACTTACACACGCACACACACACACACACAGGGACATACCCTCAATTGGTGATTCTCGCATTTAAACGTCAAATGCAACAAAAACAAAGAATTTTTCTCATTGCCAGTAAGGATTCAATATCAAGGCCAATGTTCTCTCTCCCACTCTCACTATTCATATCATCAGTAATAACTAGGTCTCTGAGAGTGTGAGAGTGACAAAACAAAAACAGTAATGTTTAGCGTGGTTTTATATTTGTCGGGATCGGGATCGGTGTTGAGAGTTTCTCTCTCTCTCAGTGGTAAATTGTGAATTGTGTTGGGAAACATTACCACAGGCAAGAACAAAAAAGTACGAAAGGGTACCTAAAATTCTACTTCAAATGATAATAAATCATAATTATCGAGAAATATTGGCCAATATTTATACCTGTTATTTGCATAAATAATATATGTTATGAATGTATTCACGAATAATAAAAAAAATCTAATTTTTGTTTTGGTACGTTTATGTCAATTCGTACCTTTTGTGAACAAAAAGTACGCTTGTTATAAAATTAAAAATAGCGCAACTCTATTACTCTCTCAAGAGAGAGAAACTCTCAACACCGATCCCGATCCCGGTAAATATAAAACCACGCTTACATTAGTAGCACATTACTCACTTTCTCTCTCACTCTCTCTGTGTGGAAAGTTCAAACAGTAAAGAATGCGTGAGAGCGGAATAACGTTTCTATGGATTTTGTGAATGACATCCTGTTTATTCGTGTTTTTTTGTTTTGTTCTGCACCACAACAACACCAGCAAAAAATGTGAGATTTCTGTAGTAAAACCGCACATTGTTGCAGCATACAGGTGTTTTTTTTTTATTCATTTGGTTTGTTTTGTTTTTGCTTTCAACAAATTGCATTCTATTTAAAGCCGTCTATATAAGTGGGATTGAGTGTGAATGTGTGTGCATTTATATATACTAATGCAGTTTTGGCGGTTAAACTTAAAACACTAAGCTACAGAGGCCATCAGGGAGGCGAAAGAACCTTCATAATTATTATTTTTTTTTCATATGAAAATATTTTCAATGCAAAATTATTTAAATCGAAATAAAAAAAAACAATTTTATATAGAAAATTTGAAGGGGCAAATTTGTTTAATTTTTGAAAAAAAATGGATAATTTTTTTGTTGTTGAGGATAAAATAGTAAATGTTTCGAATCACATTTTTCGTATAGAGGATCTTCGGGATCATGAATGCTTCCAATAATTAATTTTGAAAGACAAAGTGTTGCGTGCAAAATTATTTCCGAAAAAAAATCATATGAAAATGTTACGTGTTTAAAATGTTCGTATCGAAAATGATACGGATAAAATACTATCGTATAGAAAATGATGCCGATGGAGGGTGTATATATAAAATAATGCGAAAGATTTTGCAGATAAAAAATGTCCTTATGTCAAATGTTGCAAAAAAAAAATATTTTCATTAAAAAAATGCTGCGGATAAAGTATTTTCTCATAGAAGATTTTGAAGATATACGATAAATGCTGCTTATCATATAGAAAACGTTGCGGATGAAATTTTTTCGAAAAAAAAAAAATAAAAATAATTCCTATAAAAATAGGTAATCGTACATAAAATGTTGCGAATAAAATATTTGTGTAGAGGAAAAATTGAAGGCATTTTATAGACGATCTCCGAAGACCATATATTGATCAATTAAGATATTTGAAGGACTTCTGTGGTCCATAGAAAGTATTTTAGATATCTGAATGCCTTCAAATAACCATAGAATACCTCTGAAATACCACGCAAGGAATTCTAAATATTTTATTTGACTTAGCGGCATTCATAAAAGACTTCTAGAATAGCCCGGGAAGAACTTATGTTTATAATGGAAGCATTTTGGAGGTCTTAATATAAATTTGTCTAGTTAGAAGGTATCTAAAAGCTTTCGGTTGACGGAATAAGTCCTCCGAAGATATTGTATAGTCACATAAATAAATCCTTTAAAGGCTTTCAAGTGACTATATATGACCTCTGAAGCCTGCTGTTAAATATATATAAATTCCGAATGTGATTTATTCACCATAGAAAAGCAATATTAACCATTGAAAATGAGACCTCACAAAATCAGACACATCTGAAGGTCTTCCATTAAAAATGCGAATGTTTTGATTGGATCATAGAAGACCCAAAAATAGGTCTTAAATTAATCTCTAAGAAGACCTCCGGTGGCTTTTCATTGACCATATAAGACTTTTGGTGACCATCGAATTCCCACAGCAGACTTCTAGTAATAATAGAATAGATCGCAAGATATACTATTAAAAAGTCCTTTGGCCATTGAAGACCTTTGGCAGCCATCGAGCTCCCCAGATTTCTGAGGACTTCTCTTAATCATAGAAGTCCTCCGAAGAACTTCTAATGATCAAAGAATTTCTCTGAAGGTATTCTATTGGCCTAAGAAAACCTGTGAAAGCCTTCTATTGTCGATAGAGACCTTCGAATGTTTTCTTTTGGTTGTAGTGTGCCTTCTAGGTATTCTCTAAGTTATAAGCATCTGAAGAACCTTTGGAAGTTTTTCATTGGTCATAGAAGAGCTCTGTAGTTTGTTGACCAAAGGATACCTTTGAAGGTATTTTATTGGTCGTAGAAAATCTGTGAAAACCTTCTATTGCCTATGGAGACCTTTTAATATTTTCTATGGGTCGAAGAAGTGTTTCTAGGTATTGAAAGTCCTCCAAAGACCTCTATTAATCATAGAAATACTCCGACGACCTTTTAGTGACCAAAACGGATCTCTGCAGGTAAACTATTGGCCGTATAAAACCTGTGAATGACTTTCATTGTCTATAGAGACCTCTGAATGTTTTATCTCCGACGACCTTCTGTTGCTATTATAAAACGTCTAGTTATAATAGAAGACCTGTGATGTCCTTTTATTCATCAAAGAAGATCTTTGAATGTTTTCTATTGGCCGTAGAAAATCTTCGAACCTCTTCCATTGACTTCTGATCGTTTCCCATTGGTTGTAGTGGTGTTTCTAGGTATTCTGTAGAGTATATGCTTTTCTAGAAGTTCTCTGAACATCTTCTATTGACCATCTGAATGACTCCGTTGATAGTGAGATACCTTTCACTGGTTAAAGCATACCTCTGACTACCTTCTGATGCGCATGCAAGACCTCTGAAAACTTCTATTAATCATAAAGATCTCTGAAGGTGTTCTTTATATTGGCCGTAGAACATATTTGAAGGTCTTCCATTGAACATTGAGACCGCTGAAAGGCTATTTTCCAAAAGACATCTCAAGGTCCTCTAGACCTTTTACGACCTTCTGTCGTAATTTGAAGACCTCTGAAGATTTATATTAATCATGGAAGATTTCTGATGACCTTTTATTAACCAAAGGAGATATATGACCGTCGAAACCCTCTGAAGGCCTTATATTGTCTATAGAGACCTCTTAATGTATTCTATTGGTCGAATAAGTGTTTTTAGATATTCTCTGGATCATTAGTTTTTCTAGAAGTCTTCTGAAGATCTTCTATTGACCATCTGAATGACTTCTTTGATCGTAAAATACCTTTCATTGTTCAAAGAATACCTCTGACGACTTTCTGATCTCATTAGAATCCCTCTGAAGACCATAGGAGATCTTTGAATGTATTATAGTGGAAAAACTTGTTACTAACTAACTAAAACATCTGCAAGTTTTCAATAGACTATGAAGAGCTTTGACGGGTTTTCATTGACAATAAAATGCATCTGAAGGTCATATATTGGCCGAATAAGGTATAAGGGGCATATTATTTGTCCCAAGATCTCAGAAGACTTTCGCTTATCCCTAGAAGACATCGGAATATTTCCTTTTGAAGGTTGACCTGTGAAGGTTTTATATAGGCAACTGTTCGGAAGATATAATGATCCTGGGAGAAATCCTGTCACTTCTGGTGACCACAAAATATCTCTGAATATCTTCCATTGGCCACAGGAGATATTCTAGACATTTTATTTGTCTAAAAGTTTTATATTAGAGCTGGAAGACCTCCGGAGTCCTTATATTGACCAAATTAGATCTCTGAAGGTTCTCTATTAACCAACGAAGATGTCTTTTGATGTATAATGGGTATTTTATTTGTCTTAAGATCCCAGAATACCTCTAAAGGCCTTGGATTGTCCTAGAGGATTTTTACAAGTCTTCTTTTGACTGTAGAAGACCTGTGAAACTTTTATATTGGCGATGTAGGAGCCTTGAAGATCTTCTACTGGTGGCAAAAGTCATTCTATGAACCTTGAAAGACCTCTGGGTGCTTCTGTTGACCAAAGAAATCCTCTGAATACCATACATTGGCCATAGACGATATTCTAGGCATTTAATGTGTCTAAAAGATCCCCGAAGTCCTTAGGTTGGCCTAATTAGATCTCCGAAGGTTCTCTATTAACCGAAGAAGAAGTCCAACGTGAATCCTCATTTAAGAATATACGTGATTGTAGGTCTTACTGACCACAGGACATACCTCTGTAGGTATTTCATTGACCATAATGGCCTCCTAAGTTCTTCCTTTGCCCCTATAGATGATCGCTGAAGTTCTTCAGTTACATTATATAGCCGATAGAAGGCCTCAAGATAAAAAACATTACAGATCCTTTAAACTAATTTTAATATTTTCTTCCCACTCTGCTTTTTTCCTCTTTACAGATCCAATATGGCTGTGGCGACACATAAAACTGCAACAACAACAATGCCCATAACCACCGCCACCACAATTACAACAATAAACACAAATAACAACAACAACCAAAACAACAACAACTTTATTATCAATTGCAGCGGTTGCCATTTACCATTTAACTTTAATAATTCCGTGCCAAAATCATTGCCATGCAAACATTGGTTCTGTCTATCCTGTCTGGAGGATATGATCGGTAAATCGGATGATTTTGCCCATTTCGATTGTGCCAACTGCCAGCAGACCATTGATATTGATGGCCTAAATAAGACTTTGGAAATATTGCCAAATAGCGCTGCCGCCACACACAACAACCACAACAACATCACCAACAACAACAACAACAATGCCGAAATCGAAACCCAATTGTCGACACGTTCGGCATCGATAACATCCGATAATTCAATAGGTTGTAGTTTATTTTACAACAATAGCAACAACAGCAACAATAACAGTATTTGTAGTAATGGTAGTAATCACAACAACAACAACAACTCCAACAATACTTTTAATCCCAATAATGGCCACTTGCATAATTTTCCAAATCAGCATCGAGGTGGTGGGGGAGGAAACGGAGATAATGCTTTGGGACCCATGTTGCCGGGTGAGAACTGCATTCTCCATGGCATGCCGAATATTTTGTGGTGTGCCAGCTGCAACGCCAGCCTTTGCCGTGGCTGTAACTCGGGTCCCGACCACCAGGACCATATGATACAAAATCTCCAAGAGGCCAAGGAGGCATATCAAAATCGCATCCAACAGGATATTGGCAAGCTGCAAGGTTCCCTGGGTGACATGGAACAACTGCAGAGAATCCAAAGGGAATTCCTGTTGGGTCTGCTGGAATCCTGTTGTACCCTGAAAAGTCACCTGGAACAGGAGATCAATAATCCATGCCACAGCCAGGCGATGGAGGGGATGCGTGAAACATTGAAAATGTTACAAATCCATATGGAACTAATGCCCGATTGTAGTCCCCGGGATTATGTCAAGCTAAGCAATGCCGTGGCGGAGGAGAAACAGAAATTCTATGTGAAACACAAGGAAATGTTGAGGCAATATCAGATCAGTGAACTGATCAGCAGCAATGAGAGGTTGTTGGATTTCCCCACCATGCAGCAGATTTTGCAAAAACAGGATTTGCGATCGGCGTCGGGGGGAGATAATGGCGGTCAAATGCCCAGTAATCCGATGCTGCACCTGACCAACTACTGTGTATTCCATTTGTATTTGCGTTACTCCAAACAAAAACAACAATTTTTCGAAAATCAGCTGTGGAGATATCAACAGTATCAGCAGCAGATAATAGCGAATTTCAAGACCCAACAAAATCAAAAATCCTCCACATCATCGGGGACGTCGCAATCATCATTGTCCTCCTCGTCAGGGTCATCGGCAGTGGGTAGTTATCAACATCATCAACAACAACAAAATGGCATTACATCCAATAACTATCATCAGGGAGGTACCTCTACGACCAGTTCCGCCGCCTACGATACGTTACAAATCAAACGTAAAACCTATGCGGAAATTGCCAATAGCAATTGTAGTTCCAGCAAATCCTTTGATTGCCATGGGTCTCAAGATTCATTTGATCTCTTCAATGGCCCCTTGACGGTTTCGCAATACAAACAACTCGAAGAGGTCGGGAAATGCATAGATCTGCTTCTGCTCAATCCGATCAGTAATGACAATAATCACATTTATTATTTCGATTTTGAACGGAATGGTGAATTTCTCGGACGGGTCCTTATCAAAGTCTATGCCAGTTATGCCCCCAAAATGGCCTACAATTTCCATGCCCTATGTACCCATGAAAAGGGTGTGGGCTATAGGGGTTGTAAAGTTTTCAAATGTTATCCGAATCAAAGCATTATCACAGGAGATATAGATCAAAATAATGGATACGGTAGCCGTTCGATATATGATGAACCACAATTTGTACCAGATGATACGAAAATACCCCCCTTCATAGGGGCTGTGGGTATGCGTCGTGCTAAAAAGATTTACGACTCTCAATGTTTGGTGGGTTCACAATTTCGTATTATTCTGAAGGTGAGACCATTTAGTGCTATATTTGGTCGTGTCATAGAGGGTTTGGAAGTGGTTTGGAATATTTCACAAACCCAATTGCAGGGTGATAAGCAACAGGGTGCCGGACCACCTAGTAGCAGTAGTGGTATGGGGCATATAAATGTTGGCCAGTGCGGGGTGTATGAATTTGCTAAAAGGAATTTGCAGGGTGGTTTGTAAAGTGGGGAGAAAATGAAAGAAGATACAATTTAGGGGAAATTTCGAAAATTATAAATTCTACAGAAGAAAAATATTTTTTGAAAGGGATTCTAAATAAAAAATTTTCTATTCCAAACATTGTTGCTAGATTTTTATGACGATTTGCCTAGCACAATACGACTGACTATGTCGATGTCCGCGTATAGATTCTAAAGCTAGTGGTTCATTCGACGCAGATCGGCCCGTAGGTCTTTCGGAGAAGTTTTTTCTCAAACACCCCAAGAGCTGCCTCATCTGCTTGCGCAAAGTACCAATACTTCAGATCCATATAACAGCACGGGTAGTATCAGCGTCCTGTAAAATGTGAGTTTCCTCAGGCGGGAGACCATAGTAGCATCTGTTGGCCATCACAATCCCTCTCCGATTTTCAAAACAGATGTCATTCGTTTTATTTATGGTGGTATCAATGTATATAAAATCTTTTACCATCTCGAAGTTGTAGTTCTCAAGTTCCACAGATGGTCCGAGTCTACTGGACATCTTGCGCGTTGATACCGTTTACTGCCAGCCCCACTTTGGCAGACTTCTTCTCAATTTGTTCAAAGGTGGATGTTACCGCTCGCAATGTCTGACTCATTATATCAATGTCATCGGCGTAGGCGAGGACATGTTTTGTTTGGTGTACATCGTGTCATTTCTGTTCGCCTTCGCGTCTCGTATAACCTTTTCACACGACAAACTGTCACCTTGTCTGAATCCTCGTTCGATATTAAAGGGCTCCGATAGGTCTTTTCCGACTTTAACAGCTGACCTTGTGCCACTTAAAGTTATCCTGAATAGCCGTATTCATTTTGCAGGAATGCCGAACGCAGACATGGCGTTTAATACCTGTGAACGGATAGGGCTGCCGAATGCCGCTTTATAGTCGGCGAATAGGTTGTTGTTGTTGTAGCAGCCCTATTGCTTTTACAAAATGAGCTGAGGTGACAGACGTTGGCCGAATATGACCTCGGGTCGTTTCGGATCGTAGACCCCTCTGTCGTGAAAACGTCGGCGAATAGGTGGAATTTATCGATGTGTTTTTCGTGAGGATTTGGCGCAGAGTGAAAATCTGGACAATGCATTGACCATTGGCCTCAGTCGTTCTCACAGCACACTGGATAGCACTTTATATGCGATGGGAAGAAGACAAATTCCTCTATAGTTGGCACATATCGTCTGAGGTTTCAATCATTAGGCATGCATTCCTTTAGCCAAATTGTACTAATCAGCTGGTGCATGCTTCTGACCAGCATCTGGCCACCAGTCTTGAATAGTTCGGCTGGTAACCCATCGGCTCCTGCTGCTTTATTACTCTTCAGCATCTATTATTGGTTCTGGAATATATTCGTGGCCACCACTATTTGATACCAGAAGCTTTTCATAATGCTCCTCCTGTATCTGTCACCAGGTTTCCTTCTTCATCTTTACAGGAAGATGTACCAGCACCAAAGCCTTCGGTTTGGAATTTTACTCCTTGGTAAAATTCTCGGACTTCATTCTGACTCCTGTACATCTCGATTTGATCACGCTCACGTTTTTCTTGTTCTTTCTTCTTTTTTTCTGAAAATACGTTTCTCATCTCTCCTTTTCTACCCATAGTTCTCCATCGCATTACGTGTTGCTACTGTGTGATCGTTCCATGGATTTCTTGATCTTGGTTTTTGGTATCCAAGTGTTTGCTTTTGCTGCAGTTTGTAGGAAGTGGGCAATTCTTTGCCATTGTGCTTCTATACTATTATCGAGACAAGAAGTGCTTTCGCCAAGCATGTGTGTAAGTTGAGCGAAGTAGGCCTTTGCTACCTGTTGTGTTTGCAGCTTTTCGACATCGAGTTTCCGTCTTGTGTTAGATCGCATCTTTGCTGCTACATTAAGACGCGTGCGAACCTTGGCTGCAACAAGGTAATGGTCCGAATCGATGTTCGCTCCTCGGATCGATCGAACGTCTAATACACGAGATGAATGCCTTCCGTCTATCACAACATGATCAATTTGATTTCTCATTGTTTGATCAGGAGAAATCCAGGTGGCCTTGTGTATATCGAGGTGCTTGAGTGCGAACCTTGGCTGCTACAAGGTAATGGTCCGAATCGATGTTCGTTCCTCGGATGGATCGAACGTCTAATATACTGGATGAATGCCTTTCGTCTATCACAACATGATCCATTTGATTTCTCGTTGTTTGATCTGGAGAAATCCAGGTGGCCTTGTGTATACCGAGATGCTTGAATCTGATGCTGATAACTACCATGTTTTTTGCTGCTGCGAAGTCAATCAACCTCATGCCGTTGTCGGATGTTTCTTCATGGAGGCTGAATATTCCGACGGTGAAAATTTTCCCTTCCGATTTTTGCATTAAAATTTCCTAGCAGAATTGTTAATGTCATGGCCAGGGCAGCGGTCATATGCTGTTTCTAGGCTAATGCTGGGCAAGCAGGAGAAATCCAGGTGGCCTTGTGTATATCGAGATACTTGAATCTGATGCTGATAACTACCATGGTTTTTGCTGCCGCAAAACCGATCAACCTCATGCCGTTGTCGGATATTTTTTCATGGAGGCTGAATATTCCGACGGTGAAAATTTTCCCTTCCGATTTTTGCATTAAAATCTCGTAGCAGAATTTTAATGTCATGACCAGGGCAGCGGTCATATACTGTTTCTAGGCTAATGCTGGGCAAGCAGGAGAAATCAAGGTGGCCTTGTGTATACCGAGATGCTTGAATCTGATGCTGATAACTACCATGGTTTTTGCTGCCGCGAAGCCAATCAACCTTATGCCGTTGTCGGATATTTTTTCATGGAGGCTGAATATTCCGACGGTGGAAAATTTACCTTTCGATTTTTGCATTAAAATTTCCTAGCAGAACTGTTAATGTCATGGCCAGGGCAGCGGTCATATGCTGTTTCTAGGCTAATGCTGGGCAAGCATGGGAACTGGTGCCCTTGTTTACATGTATCAATGAACTCGTTCTCTGTGTTCTCTTTTAGTAAGTCATTTCATATGGCGGTTTCTCATTTCTCCTCCGAGCATTTTCTTTTTGCTCAGCTCTATTCTAGGCGCTCGTAAAATATGTCTTTGGTCTGTCCATCTTTGTCTTCCGTTGGAGCATGGTCGCAAAAGAAACTTGTGTAGAAGAACTTGGCTTTTACACGTATTATAGCAATTCGCTCATCTACTGAAATGAATCTGGAAACGGGGTCTTTTATTCTCCTGTTAATCATAAATCCGCAGCCAAATTCATGTCTCGTTTCATGGCAGCTATAATATAGTGCGTAATCGTCTGATTTACTTACGCCAGTCCCTTTCCATCGCATTTCCTGTAAGGCAATAATATCGGCTTTGTACTTCTTGAGTAAATCAACCAAAGCGGAAACTGCGCCTGTTCTGTACAACGTACGCACATTCCAAGTGCAGATTCGCCTATCGTGGTCCGTTATACGTTTGCGGGGGGTAGTCAAAATTAGGGGGGTTTGGTTTTTGGTTTGCTTTGATTTTTCATAGTAGGGGGATGGTTTCTGAGTGTGGGCAATCTAAACCCGACGCCTCAACCCATTTTTTTTTTAGTTCTTATGGGTGAATATCGGCTTTGTACTTCTTGAGTAAATCCACCAAAGCGGAAACTTACAACGTACGCACATTCCAAGTGCAGATCGTGGTCCTTTATACGTTTGCGGAGGTCGTCAACATTGAGGGGGTTTGGTTTTCTTTTTCTTTGCTTTTTCATAGTAGGGGAATGATTGCAATCTAAACCCGACGCCTCAACCCATTTTTATAGTTCTTATTGGTGAATATCGGCTTTGTACTTCTTGAGTACATCCACCAAAGCGAACACTGCGCCTGTTCTGTACAACGTGCGCACATTCCAAGTGCCGATTCGCAGATTATGGTCCTTTATACGTTTGCGGGGGGTCATCAACATCAGGGGGGTTTGGTTTTCTTTGCTTTTTCATAGTAGGGGGATGGTTTCCAAGTGTGGGCAACCTAAACACGACACCTCAACCCATTTTTTACAGTTCTCATGGTTGATCTCGCGTCACATATCAGCTCACTATTTCAACGGGTCATGAAAATAGCTACATTTTCTAGCAACAATGAATCTTAAACATTTTCTATGGAATATGTATACACTCTCCCCAATATCTTAAGAAGCATTTTCTTTCACACATATAGCATTTCGAAAGAGACAACTGAGAATCTATGGTCCAAAACGTAGACACATATACACCTACTCACACACACACACATGCCAAACAATATAAAACCGAATACAAATGAACTTAATTCCAGAATAAAACTTAAGAATTTTTAATTGATTAGTAAAAAAAAAAGAAATTATAAATAAATAAGAATCGATTGAGTAGGAACTTATATCACTCTCTCTTCCTCTCTCTCTCTCTCTCATAAAAAAACTCATTCTCTAACACGATACTGTCCTCTATATATTTATACAAAAGAATGGCGGCTAATATCAATATTAATTAATGCAATATAAATAAATATACAGTTAAAAACTATACGAATTTCGATGTGTAAAAAATATGAAAGGAAAAAAAAAATAGATAAAAATTAAAATTTAGGGAAATAATTTATAAAATTAGTTCAAAGTAAAAAAAAAAAATATTTTTTGAATTAAAAAAAGCTGAATTTGTGGTTTGTGCCAAAAAAAAAAAAAACAAGAAATTGGCAAACTCTAAAAAAAATGTGAGATAAAAAACTAATAGTTAAATATAAAAATTTAATTTTGGAAACAAAAATATAAGAAACGATTTTTTTTGTATATCAAATAAAAATATAGCATTCAAGTGAGAGAGATAACTCTTTATATTCCTCTCTCTCTCTCTTTTGTTTGATATACAAAAACCAAACTTGAAAAATTTGACGCTACAAAGAGACCTGTTGTTGTAAAAGCCTGGCATGTATAAAAACAAAAATAAATAAATACTCAGGCTTAAAAAAATATTAAAAAAATAATATAGAAAA